CATTGCTGCTTTTACCCCACTTCTCCCTATCGGCGATGGGTGTGGTCACCAATCAGAGCACGTATTTCCATTGAGTCTTAGCCTTGGAAGGGGTGTTTGTGTGTTTTTTAAAAAGCTAAAGTGGAAACAGAGAAATACTGTTATCTGATGGTATATGGAGGGGATTATAATCAATGTAATGGAACAAGGTATATGATTTGCTGAATGTAAAACTGATGATGTGCCCTATAAACTTTCACTCAATCCACAATAAAAACCTTAAAAATAATAATAATAATAATTACAGTCTAGGAAACCCAATGGGGAAAGTCTACCCTGTCATATAGGGTTGCTATGAATTGAAATTGACTTGATGGCAGCCAACAACAAAATGAAAATAAAAGCAATTCTAAAACCACTTATGTGTTAGATTTGTATATGACTGTGTGTAGGGAGTTTGCTAATTGTCTATCTAAATATTTTCTTTCTTTCTTCCTAAGATAACTTAAATTATTTAGAGCAGCAATGTACCCAACTAAAAAAGGCATTTTTCAGCCTGTCTTGAAGATTGTTGTTGTTGTTGTTGTTGGGTGCCTTCAAGTTGGTTCCGGCTCATAGTAATACTATATACAACAAAAGGAAGCAAGTCCAGTCCTGTGACCAATGAATGGTAAGTGGAAATTTTTAATGGATTTCTTGGTAAAACTCTTTTGTTGCCCTTGGTGTTTCCCTTTTCTTATCTGAAACAAGGAAGTGAAGTTGGAGATTTCACAGTCATTTCTGATTTGAAGATATGACAAAAGTATGAAAGTTTGCAAGGCAGAAAATTTGGAGGAATCTGGCTCCCTGATAAATTTGTGGAGCTACTATATCCATCCTAGACTTCATAGATAACAGAATAAATCTTTCAGTTATGAAAACTCTACAGCAGGCTCCCTATCAGTGGGAGCCAATCCAGTATATGATCATAAGAGTATAAAAGTACATGAGGGACCCAAGGTATAAGTAGATTTGTGTTATCTTTCAGTAACCCAGAAATTAATTGGAACTTAATCCAACAGCATTGTAGGAGGTTGTGGAACAATATACACTTGTCTGGGGATATTCATCAGCTACACGCTCAATTTTATGATATAAGTAATTCTCAAAGTGAACAC